TTCATAAATTAGATTTAAAGGCTCAGTTCTCTTCTAAACAGAAAAAAGGAAACAAACACAACACTTTGAACATAAAAGAACATACAAATATTTAACTGAGCCTTTGAAATCTCTTATAAATGCGTTACAAGGCATAACAGGTCCTCACTTAGATGAGCTCACAAAATAGTAAACTGACCACTACTAAATGGTTGATAACTACCTGAATTAACTTGGATTACAGTAGAAATACATGTTAAAAATGTATTAACACACTAAGTAACTATTACTATATGTCTGAATAATAAGATGCATGAATGCACATTGAAGTTTATTAAGTTTATTAATCATTTACTCACTTTCTAAGTGATCTTATAAACCACTGGCAACTCCTAAATAACTTTATATTGGTTTATTATTATGGTTTATAATGCTATACTTCATTTAGAAATCATAAATTTGTTCATTAATAAAGCATGGAATTAAAATGATTAAAACACATTATAGATATGCTTTTAAACCAATAATCAGCAATTTATAAAGACAGCTATAAAGCTATAAATTCTTTAAATATTGTTTTAAAAGCATATCATAATGTGTTTTATAATTGTATTTCATTAGTTAAGCATTTACTATTGCTTAACTAATGATTACTAGTGGGGGGTTATTAAATTTACTGAAAGTACCTTAACTTAAGCAGCTCTACAGTCTCAGAGGCTTTGGACAGCCAGCCATTCAGACAATAGAGAAGTGTGAACGACGTGTGTTAATGGGCCACTGCAGTTCCTGCTCCAGCCTACAGGGAGCGCTGCTGAGTATGGGCTTAAACACACACACGTGTGTTAGTCCCACCTTGGTCAAAAGTTAAAAAAATTCACCAGAGCGTTTTTTATGATTTTAACATGTTTTAAGGCATAGCTAACAGGGGACTTGAAAAATGTCCCCACTTCCCTCGGCGGTCCCCTGTTGGTGAGTGTGTAACGACACAAAGTCCCCTCTTAGATAGGTAGACAAGTACACACACACACACACACACCACACACACACACACACGAATCACTCACTCCTTGAAAGACACACAGTGTCAGTATGCGTTTCTCGCAAGGGCATTACACACGCACAACCGAAAACCACTCACCCAACTCGCACTATTTTATGGGTTCATTCATACACCACCCGAAGTCCACAAACACTCGTCCAGTTCAGTTTGAAACAGTGCGGGGGATCAGCAGCAACCACACATGAGAGCGGGGCTGCGCGAGGAGTCTCGCGCTCCCCACGCGTCGAGTTCCACTGGATACAGGTCGTCAAAGGAACAGAGAGAGAAGCGAGGCAAAAGCAGCGCACGGCAGAGAGACGGGGCGAGAGAAGAACGAATTCCCAAAGGGAATAATTAAATACGAAACAGAGAAGGGGAAGCCAGGTCACGGTCCCAATCAACTTGCTGGCACTCATGGCGATATTACTCGCTCGTCCACTAGAACAGAGGAGGAACACAACGTAAATGATGTCTTTTTCGTAAATATTTCTCCCATGAAGTCAAATACTAGTTACCCACCTGATTTTCCGCAAATCAGTCTTCCCACTGTCAAGCCGCGATATGTAAACACAGCCCGTCACGCATACTAAAAGCACAAAGCGCATACATACAGCCAGCAGCTCACCACGAATAACAGTCAGTCTTACTCTAGTCCTCTCGTATTACTCGATAACGTACCCAAATGGATGCGCGACTCAGCTCCAGAATCCCCATATGAGAACCGCTCAGCAGGAAAGCAGCAACAGAACTTACAACAGCCTACACGCTCTCAATACACAGAACCATTTATGCGTGCTCCCGCACCTATAGCGCACCTGACTCGAATTAGGCAATTACCAGTGCAATCGCCACTCGGGCTGTTACTCCACCTAACTAGGCAACTATGCCTGCTACATATGCATAAATAAAATAATAAAAAAAACATAATGCATGTCAACTACTACAATAATTGCATCAAAATTAAGTAAATCGATTATATCAGTTTAAGTAACTGTATGAGCACGTGATATAGGCTATGCAATTTCCCGTGATGCCTATCCAGACAAAAAAAATATGAAACATGTGAAGACGTTGAGAAGCGGTAAGCTTATTTTTTGTACTTAGGCCTACACATGATCATTTATTGCATTTTTGGTCAAGAAATTTACTTTTAACTGAATTTCAGAATTGCTACAAATTTTGCATCAACAATTAGAAACGTTTCTTACGAATGCAAACATTTGTAGTCTACATGTTAACGAATGAAATAAGTGTTTTGCACGCGAGTAGCTATATTGTGTTTTTTCAAAATATATGACCATGATGTTGGCTCGTATATGCATTAATGGTGTGTTTACACCGAACGCGAATTTAATTGCGATAGCAGAGTACATTCATAGTCAATGCAAAGACGCGAAGACGTATCATTCGCGCCGGGCGTCGCGAATTGGGTGACTCGTTTGCCGCGAACGTCTCTCTCAGTAGAAAATTTTGAACTTGAGCGGGCTGCAGAAGATTCAAGCGTCTAACTAGACTTGACGTGTTTGACGCGTTCGGTGTGACCAATTCGGACTGCGCTCTCTCCCCCACGGATAGATTATAGGCCTACTTTATTAGCGAGTTGTTTTTGGATAAAACTAATACTTTGCATACTTACAAATTCCCATGTTCTCTATCTCTATTGTCTATAGGCCTACATGGATCGCGGGAAAGGGAGCCTTGGGCGCGGGTTAGCCTACTTTTGGTAACGTTAACATACAAATATTAAATTCGAAAGCACATTGCCTACAGCTCCGTGTGTGCACGATTTATCATTAAATAATGGCAATCTTGATTCTAGCACAATATTATTCCTAAATGACAGCGTTAATTCAGTAAATTAAACCTTCAAAATTATTATCAAAATAAGTAAATACCCTTTAAACAAAACTTTAGCTTCAAATAAAGATTGTAGATCTTTACTGTTTTCCAGTAGTTACTGCTAAAATGTTTTTGAAGAGATTCGTTCATAACCTCTGGAGGAAAGTCATTAATTAACTTCTGTTTTGTTTAAATTAATAGATATTATTTAATAGACTATTTTTTATATTTATAGGCATTTAATAATGGACTAATTTGTTGCATTTAATTGTTTTTTTTATTGGTTTTTAAAAAAAAATATATATATATATATATATATATATATATATATATATATAATTATATATATAGACACACACACACACACACTAAGATTTTTTAATATTTTTAAAAGAAGTCTCTTCTGCCCACCAAGCCTTCATTTCTTTGATCCAAGAAAAACTGTAATATTGTGACTATATTATTATTATTATTTTAACAACTATTTTCTATTTGAATATATTTTAAGATGCAATTTAAATAAATAATAAAGTGAAATGCTTTATTGTGTGTGATTTGCATGTTATTTATTTTAAGACATGTAAGCTGAAGATCTAAACTAAGTTAAAATGGTTGGTTCAACTGATTTAATTGTCTTATTTTATATATATAAATGAGCTTAAATTTTAAGTTAACAGAACTAAGATTTATGTTGATCTCACATGGCCTGCACTGTGTTGGATTTACTTAAAAGATATGTGCACATTTTTTGATACAAAAATGGTGCATATATATTTTAAGTAAATCCAACTCATCATTTTTTAGAGTGTGGACAATATGAAACTAAAACGACATAAGCTTAATTTAAAATGTCTTAGGAACTACTGGATATTTAGAGGTGAATAAACGTAATTGAAAGGTGGATAAACGCACTTTGGAGGTGCAAACGCAATTCCCGAATATTGGGAGGTGGGTAAATGGCATTTACGTGCATTTAGCCTCCACTACATCCCTGGGTATGACATCACAGTACTGATTCGAAAATATACAGTGATCAACTAGAAGCAGCACTATACAGAGTACAGACGATTGGTGTATGACATCACAGTACTGATTCGAAAGCATACAGCAGACAGTGATCGACAGCACTGTACAGAGTACAGACGATTGGTGTATGCAGAGGTGTAGTTGAAGAGGTAAACTATAAATTCTGGTGGACCAAGACATCGTCACCAGGTAAGGTGGGCCACTGCCTACCCGTGTATGTGTGTCTCCTGATGACATTGCTATATGAGGGCTCGACATTAAGCCTTTTCATACGCTAAGTAAATCTGCCTTTAACTTGTCCGAGTAAAAAGTTGCTTGTTCAGATTTTTTAAAAATTTGACTTATTCTTAAAAAATATTATCATCATTGATATATCAGCTTTGATATTTAAATCACCATATTGTAATTTCTGCACCTTTAAAGGGCACCCCCCTCCCCCAAAATTATTAAATGTATGCTTCATATTTCATTTTAAATTCCTAAATTTGATCAATAAATTCAATTATTTCTAATAATAAGACACCATAGGGCTGTTACCCTAGGGGTTGATCAAATTAAATCATTTACACTGAAAAATTACAATTGCATGAAATAATGTTATGAAATTGATTTCAATTTACATATAAGAAAGAATGATGCTACTTTTAAACATTTAACACTAAACCGCCAGTAGGTGGTGGCAGGCGACCGTCTTAATGAGTGAAAAAGTTCGCCTTAGGTTTAACAACCTATACTAAATTAACTAAATTAAAGAAACTAAATTAACGACATAAGCTTAATTTAAAATGTCTTAGGAACTAGGATATTTAGAGGTGGATAAACGCAATTGAAAGGTGGATAAACGCACTTTGGAGGTGGGTAAACGCAATTCCCGAATATTGGGAGGTGCGTAAACGGCATTTGTGCATTTAGCCTCCACTACATCCCTGGGTGTATGACATCACAGTACTGATTCGAAAGCATGCAGTGTACTTTGATCACCTTGACGAAGCACTGGGGAGACCGGGGGCAATTGTAACAGGGGCAATTGTACCACACTCAATTCCTCCAATCAGAAACAAGCTAGAGTGATGACACTTAATCTGTACATGCCCAATAGGATTCTCTCTCTATCTGTGGAAAAGAAGCGTGACATTTTCAACTTTAGCAGAAGTTATTAACGACAAACTGATTTTGAGGTGTGAAAGTTATTTTTTGAATGTACAGTATTTTTCTTCTGCTGTCTAAAGTTTAGATGTCTGTCAATTTAAACTTGTATACATTTTATCCCTAGGTTATTGATTAAAAACGAACATGAACAACACTGTAACACTGTGTTACAGTTGCCCCCGAGCCACAAGGCCCATTGTAATAAGCTTGTTTGTGTGTGTTGACATACTTTTCTGTTAAAAAAAAATGAACATATTTCACTAAATTCTATTGTAAAACTTCATTTTAAAAGGGTGTATTAAAATAAATGTTTGTTCCAGTATTAACAAATCATCAATTAACATTTTTTATATAAAATAATGTGTGTTTTATATGTGCTTGACAAAGTGGGAATATTATATAAACTCTTAAAATTAACAGCAGTAAAGTGATTACTTTGAGGTAGGCTTTTATTTGAGATAAAGTGGGTTAATAGGAGTTATTTCTCAGTGTTACAATTGCCCCCACACTGCATTTAATTGAATATTTTAGTCTTGTTCTTATAAGTAAAAATATATAAATTGTATTATTAATTAGTGCACATATATATGTTTCTTGTATCAAAAGATGACTAGTCTATCTCAAGTAGTTTGTGAGTTATTAAGGAAAATGTAAAATACGTTACAATTGCCCCGGGTCTCCCCTACAGACGATTGGTTTATGACATCACAGTACTGATTCGAAAGCATACAGTATGATCTTGAAGCAGCACTGTACAGAGTACATACGATTGGTGTATGACATCACAGTACTGATTTGAAAGCATACAGTATGATCTTGAAGCAGCACTGTACAGAGTACAGACGATTGGTGTATGACATCACAGTACTGATTTGAAAGCATACAGTATGATCTTGAAGCAGCACTGTACAGAGTACAGACGATTGGTGTATGACATCACAGTACTGATTCGAAAGCAAACAGTATAATCTTGAAGCAGCACTGTACAGAGTACAGACGATTGGTGTATGACATCACAGTACTGTTTCGAAAGCATGTATGATCTTGAAGCAGCCGAACAACCAATACTTATAAAAGTAATTGGATCAAACATAAAAAATTAAGTATTCCTAACTTTTCAACGTTTACTTAACATATGTGTGTAACAAAAAAATATAAGCTACTAGGTGCACTTAAATGTATGTGTGGCACCTAAAGAATGGGTTTCGTTGCTCTGGACTCAACTATAATACAGCACGACTACGCCACCCTGGGAATTTCACCCAAGGAAATGAGGACATTAAGGACACAGGTTCGTTCCCACAAGATAGAGCAGAGGACGTGAACTTGAAAAAAATAATAATACTTTATTATACTAAAAATCAAAGCTCCACACACACACACACATAGTTCAACACACAGATCAATATGACTTCAAATCAAAATAGAAAACAACAAATCAAAATAAAGAACATCAACAAAAATCAATCAAAGGCGACAGGTCAGATGGCAGCAGAGGTAACAAACCTACTCAATTCTACTTCACTACAAGCACTTCAACCGTATGTTTAATGTACTCATTTCACCACAAGCACACGTGCAATTCAGTGACAAACAAATTCAAAGAATCAAAAATCACTCAGTGAACAAGGGTACCCATTAGTTCGGACCTGAGCAGTCAACACTCCTAGCCAATCTGACAAAGCTCACAGATTAATCACAAATAAACCAAAAAAAATAATACAATCACATCATACATGATAAATCAATCAAAAAAAGAAAAGAAAATATACTCAAATCATTACTAAACAAGAAAAAAAGAAAATACAATCAAATTATACTTCAACTCAAAAGAAAATACAAATCCCAACCAGAGATTTCAAATACAAGTCACA